CAAGCAAAGGAAGAATGTTTCGAGTTGGTAGAGCCTCACCTCAGTTTGGTTGATGCCCACTCAAGACCCCTATATAACCTGAAAATAACATAACGTTGAAATATGATGATCAATGCATAATTCTAGGAGAGTCAGTACATTTTTATTTGTAAGTTCGCATTATACGGAACAGATAATGTGCAACAATTTTCTTCTCGGAGATTCCCCTGTGGGTGTGCGCTGCAAGCTTAACAGACACGATTACGTCTGGGTTTGAAGTGATATGAAAATGTGATGTTTTGCTTACCCTTCACCCGTAAGAGCACAGCACCCCTGGATATGCCACGGTAGACACTTTACAGACGTCAGGTTGAGATATTTGGATATTTCTGCAGATGACATCGAACCTTTGATGTCTTGCTTGTTGGCAAAAACTAATAAAGATGCTTTGTGCAAATCCTGAAAAAATCAAGAGTTAAGTTTAACTACTGACAAGTAACTATTAACTATAACCGACCTAGAACTGTATGTACAAACAATCAATGCACTCATTCACAAACATTCAAAAATAACAACATATCGTAAAACGTATTGTCACAATTGTAACCCATTGTCGCGGTCATAAGAACAGAATATATATATATATACACATATATATAGGAGGCGTATAACAGTAAGCTATTGTAAATGCATAATCTTTGCAAAATACGATTTTTCTCGGGGGATATTGCGCATGCGCGCGCACCGTGTTATAGGCGTGCAGTGCCGTCTGAGGCAAACTTCATAATATAGCTTGCTGAGGGGGAGAGGGGATGGGAAGTTATGATAGTCATAGCTATTTGGGATGTTTCTGACAATGGACTCTGAGAAGTTCGATCGCTTTCACACTGCTCTCATCTCTTCGACTGCGTCTTCTTGACACTTTCTTTCTTCTGTTTTAGGCATTCCTCTTCTTATTATGGCAGCGTGGGTCGTCGTTAAGGTGAAGTACGACCTTAACATGTAAGCAAACGTCATCATTGCCCTCTTAAGCTAACGTGAATTACAGGCAGTTCTAGCCAATCATTGTTGTGACAGGACGTACTAATAACAATGCTAAGCAACGAAGTGCTAAAAGTCGAGAAATTGGCGCGTGCGCGTGAAAATTATGATTGACCGACCAAAGAAAAATATGCAAGGGGCGGCGTGCTTACCTTTCTCAGACTGAAATGTCAGTCCCATTCAGAGCGCATTCGAGCCTGTCCGACACTCTGTAACGTTGCACAGTAGCGCACGCCCGAACTAAGTGGAAGTGAGACTGGTATACACGCGCGAATTCCCAGATATCCCATAACAATAATTTTTCAATCATGAATTGTAGGACACCTATGCCCGCATCACTGACTCCGCTTATAGCGCCACGTGATTCGTTGACGAAGCCACGTGGTCCGCCCATGAAGGAACTTAATTCACTGACGTAACCTTTCGTGATTTACTACAAAATTTGCGATGATGTGTTTGCTGATAATATTATTATTATTGTTGTTATTATTATTATTGCTATTATTAAGGTGTTAAATATGATGATGATGATGATGTGCTTGCTGCTTTGACAGGTGCTGGTTAACAGACAAGAGCTGGACGTATGACCTCATCTTTCTCGTTCCGATCTTCATCATGTTGCTGGTAAGTTGGAAGTAGAACCATGCGCACCGCAAAGACCATCTTTGCGATCTATTATTATTATTATAATTGTTATTATTATTATTATTATTATCAAAGCTGGGTCACGCATTAGCCGGTGGCTTCTGGGTTGACCGTGTCTCGGCAACTGGACATAGGGATTAATTTACGCAGAATTTTTTGGCAGGATGTGTGCTTTTTCGCGCAGTAGTGCGATGTTTTCTGCGACTTCTAAGGCAGTGTGTTGGCGCAGGGAGTTTCCTTTAAGGTTCTCTCAAAACCATTCTTTATAGAGCTAAGGCTCGCAACGCACGTACTGATAGAATTCTCGTCTAGTATTCCAGCATCCTCCTAATTTCGATCTTCCAGATCTTTGTACTTTGGTGAGTTTGTCTCTTCCTTCCATGATGTTGTTTCACAATTATTATTATTATTATTATTATTATTAATTGGGTTTTTTATTTCATTATTATTTATTAATTATTATTATTATTATTATTGTTATTATTATTATTTATTGCTGATTGATTTAAGGTGTATAAATATGATGATGTATGATGTGAATGGTGGTGGTGGTGGTGGTGATGGTGGTGGATGATTGGTGGTGGTGGTGGTGGGTGATGTGGGGTGGTGGTGGTGGTAGTGGTGGTTGGTGGTGGTTTGTGGTGGTGTGGTTTGTGGTGTTGGTGTGTGTGGTGGTGGTGGTGGTGGTGTGTAGTGTGGTGGTGCTGCTGCTGCTGTGGTGGTGGTGGTGGTGGAGGAGGAGGACGAGGAGGAGGCGGAGGAGGCGGAGGAGAGGGAGGAGGAAGAAGGGGGGACGGGAGCAGGAAGAGGTGGTGGCGGCGGCGGCGGCGGCGATGGTGATGATGGTGGTGATATCATGTTACCAAGAGTGAATAATAATAGATCGATATTAATAGAATAAAGATAATAGATCTATATAATAATAGAATCGATTATTATTCACTCCTTATATTATCATGTGTATTTCAGGTAAACAGTGTAATCCTTGCCATCCTTGTTTATGTATTGGTGACTAAGCTGCAAGAGGAAAGTGCAAGAGAACGAATGTTCTACTGGTAAGCTAAAAATGGCATTCCCTAGCTTTAACACAGACGTTGAGTAATCTCTCGTATAACCTCGCTCTTTGCTCTCATACCGGTGATATTCTGACAGTGTCTTTATTATGCGCGCATAGATATGTAGTACGTAAAAGGCCATGGATCGCGGGGCTATTCAATGAATCACGTTCAGCGAACTAACATATGTGGCCTTGCTGTATTCCCGCTCACAACCCGTGAGGAATGTTATACAACACTCTTAACTTTTGGTTTAAATTTACACCAAAAAAGGTGTGAAAAAAATACACCCAAAATACATCTATTTTAGAGTGTAAATTTACACTAACGCCGGTAGTAAAACACTTTCAGGGGTCGGAAGATAGATTGCTTAAAGAGCAAATTCTCACTTAAAACTGGGTGTATTTTGGGTGTATTTTTTTACACATTTTGTGTGTGTAAATTTAAACCAAAAAGTTAAGAGTGAATATACGTGGTTGCGTCGCTGTAAAGGAAGGGCGTGAAGGGACTCCTGCAGCTGATGTCTCTGGGCCTCCCTCACCTACTCCTCGCAGTGGAGTCTGACCAGGTGATACTGAGACAGGTGACCGCATACCTAGGTGCCGGAATAGCGTCAACACAGGTGCGTACACGTCAACACAGGTGCGTACACGTCAACACAGGTGCGTACACGTCAACAAGAGATTCTATATACACCAGATCTCGCTACCATTAACGTTCACCATAAATCTCAGCAGATGTATACGGTTATATATGGGTTAATATGTTAAGTATAATTGTTTGGCCCCCAGATCAGGCTTCCTTGCAGAATTGCACACTGTAAGAAGTCGAACACAGAAACTGTTGATTAAAACTTTCACATTTCCAGGTTATAGTATAAATGCCAATCGAGATGTACACGACCCTCACAGAACACCCCAATAACATCCAAATGAATCTCTTCTGTGAAGAGCTGTGGTATACTGGAGGCCGTACCAATGAGTGGGGCGGAAGATTCAGACGACCCCCCCCCACACAACCACCGGCAACTATAATATCCGGTATCTGTCTTTTCATCGCCAATATTATTCTGACCAATTATCCGAAAGTCCAAAACTGATTCATTATACGATTTTCACCAGTGAACTGACATATCCATACAGATACTGCGTTTGTTGTTCATATAATAGGCGGATTAAGATATCTAAGAACGAAAAGAGGAAGAGAGATAGGCCTGCCTAGTTGAGTAAATATGTTGAGACAAGTTATCCATTCAGGAGCGTGTGTGAAAGAACACTCAATATTGCCGTCAATGCAGCAGCGGTCCATGGCATGCATCCATTGCAGTGATCAGAAGAGATGTCTGTTTCTGATCACCATGCAGTCAGTTTGAGCGATTTGAATATTGAAGGTCCCGCATGTGCTCAGTACTTATTTAAACACGTAGAGCAATTGAAAGGCTGTGCAGAAAAGAGCCAAAGGACGCCCAAGGTGGCTCAACAGCTGGCAGCTACAATATCTCAATGATATATATGCTAATAAAAAAAACTCATTTAGAAAGCTAGACTCCATGCCCAACCGTAAGTATGAGTCTTGGATCGGAAACTCTAATTAGTATAACATTATGTATTACGTTATCAAAATGGGCACACACCAGAGCGTTATTACGTAACTGTGCAATAGATAAACGTCGGCTGCCATGACAACATTGCCATTGGCCTATTTTAAACTTGATCGGGTTCTTACCGGCATTGTAAAGGCATCTGATGAACGAGCATCAAATACGTTAGGATAGGGCTCTGCTGCTCACGGCATAATGATAGGTGTCGTGCACGCACTAGACACCGAATATGTGAATCTAAAAGCGACCTAAGTGCAACATCACACAATACTCCATTCAAGTAGCACTCGAACTAAACACCACACCGTGACATTCAATTTTGTGCACTAGTCGGTACATTGCTGGCAGCAGTCCCATTCGCAAAGAAACATATTCTGAACGAATTTAATGTGTTCTATGGCATGATTGCGTTCATGCGGACGCAGACCCAAAGTTGGCTGACACTCAAGGGTCCACTTCTGATGTGAAAACTACTACCTCCTGGAATGCGCGTCTAGGCGCTGTACTCTTTACATAGATTTCTATTAAATATACAGCAACGCTAATGTTTTGCCGCGCGCAATTTTAATATTTGCATTCAAATTGGCATACGCTACATCTGCATGAAACAAAGTAACCGTGATTCGACATTTTTCACAATTGCCCGTGTTCCTTCTGATCCTACGCCGACCAAATCTTACTCACACTTCCTGGATGATGTGTAGGTGACTGCAAGCACAGAGATCTCTAGTGTTGAACGCACTACAGTTAAAGCAGTGCCGGTAAACTAATTACGTTCATATTTGAGGCAAATTGAGCTCACATACAATATTCTGTACATGCAAGCTCTCAGCTGCTTATCACCAGTAACTTATATATATAATATCAAGAGGACAAAATAAGATCTCTATTATTCTCTTGATATATATATAAGATCGCGTGTGTTTTACATAGATCCCAATGGTATGGATTACAACCAATATACTTAATAGTTTTATAACGGTATGTACAAGTCTTCGTATAAAAAATTGAGTCGCCAGATATCCAAATTGTAAAACGTTGCCAAAAACGACGCAGCAAGGTCGAGCAAAATTCATTCACAATATTGGCATGAGTAATTGAGATTCTTGCAAATTTTTCTCCTAACACTTATTTGAGTGTTCTTTAGTTACGTTGTCTGGTCATGAAAATGATATTTGTATTAAAACCGCTCAAAAATGAGGCTCACAATTAAAATGCTTACAACTAGCTTAAACATGATTGAACAGAGTGAGAATGTCAAAAATGATGTACCTCTGTGTAGCCAATGGCAGAGATTGAACGGAAGTAAGAGAAAAGTTCTAGTGTGGTACAGTCTTCATTTTGATATGCTTATATGTGAGTCTATGTCTTCACTAAGAATTGGGTGTTATTAACATACCACTGAGCGAATCAGCAGAGATAACTAATCAGTGGATTTGCCAAATGATGGCACGCAGAAAAAATATACTATTGTCTGATATATACAGCCGAATAAAGTCATGGCAAGTTATTCAACCGTTTGTCACTCGTTTCATTACCTATTGCAATGGCGTTGCTGCCAACGGTGTTTATTAAAGCGGTGGGCGCCATCACAAAAGCTACACCACTTGCCACATGCATCAATTGGCACCAGCCAATAATTTCGTCAGCAATGTTACAATGCACTGGCGCTCTATACAATATAGAAAGAATGCGCATCAGCACTGAGATATCACTGAATTGCCCATATTTAAATGGCAATGGAGCTTGTCTAAGGACAAAGAATGCGCTTAGCGCTAAAACCCAGGGGTAGAAATAACTTTGAACCCGGGAGTACCATTAAACACGGGAGTCCTAAACCGCTACCTCCACAAAGAGGGAGCGCCGCAGCAAATGAGGGAGTTCGGCAGTCTGAGTCGCGACAAGTAAATCGGGAGTAAATTTTGGCTCTGGACTCCCGTTCATTTCGCACCCTAAAAACCCAATCGCTACCTTCTTCGCTCGTCTCAAAATTGTAGTGTAACAAAATAAATATTATCCATCTCGCGTTAACAAACAGTTAAACCACTGGACGTTAGACAAGGTCTGCAGGCACGCCTTTGACCATTGAATGATCGCTACATCCAAGGTCAGCAATACCTAAAAGGTTCTCACAAGAATAAGCAACCAAGCAAAGGAAGAATGATCGAGTTGGGTAGAAGCCTCACCTCAGTTTGTGTTGATGCCCACTCAAGACCCCTATAAACGCTGAAAAATAACATAACCGTTGAAATATGATGATCAATGCATACACATTCTAGGAGAGTAGTACATTTTTATTTGGTAAGTTCGCATTATACGGAGACGATAATGTGGGCAACAATTTTCTTCCCGGAGATTCGCCGCTGTGGGTGTGCGCTGCCAGAGCTTAACAGAGCACGATTACGTCTGGTTTGAAGTGATATGAAAATGTGATGTTTTGCTTACCCTTCACCCGTAAGAGCACAGCACCCCTGGATATGCCACGGTAGACACTTATCAGACGTCAGGTTGAGATATTTGGATATTTCTGCAGATGACATCGAACCTTTGATGTCTTGCTTGTTGGCAAAAACTAATAAAGATGCTTTGTGCAAATCCTGAAAAAATCAAGAGTTAAGTTTAACTACTGACAAGTAACTATTAACTATAACCGACTAGAACTGTATGTACAACAATCAATGCACTCATTCACAAACATTCAAAAATAACAACATATCGTAAAACGTATTGTCACAATTGTAACCCATTGTCGCGGTCATAAGAACAGAAATATATATAATATATACACATATATATAGGAGGCGTATAACAGTAAGCGTCCGCGATTGTTCACCGTTGCACTACTTCGTCTCTAGAAAAGGCCTTTTTTGGCATTTTTTTTCGCCGAAATTCGGC